TCCCCAAGTTCTTCATTTGCTGACGGAGCCTCTCAGCAAAGTAGAGAGCCATTGAAAACGGACGTTTTAGGCAAATATGCGTTAAGTCCTCGAGADAGGAAGAAATCTACGGGAAATAAGCACCTGCAGGACAGAAAGGAATCTCTTGAGAGAAAAGAAGAAAGCGCTGCTGGAAGAAGAGAGAGAAAAGTGTCTCATGAAAGAGTACAGCAGCATTTAGATCAGGAAAGACATGACAAGACGAGAGAAAGGAAAGAATCCTATGAGAGGAAACAGCAGAATGAAAACCAAGGACGAAATGATGCGGCAAATGAGGGGAACGGATCACATGACAAAGAACATCAGCTTGACAACCAAGGACGAATTGATGTAGTAAGAGAGAGAAAAACATCTCATGAACGAATTAAACAAAAGAATAAAGATCGGGAGAAGATCAACCCCAAGACAGATAGAACGATATGTAACGACAAAGAACACTTGAACGAAAGAGTGGAAGCTGCAGAGAGAAGACTATCTCATGAAAAAGATAAGCAAGAGGTACGTATATCCGGCAGTCGTATTTATATTTCTGAACCGTTCAAAAACCATTCAATATTAAGCTGTTTCGTCGGTGGGCGCAGTCAAATTTCTTTTATTTTATTTATTTTATTTATTGGGGGTCTGATATTACATTTTCAGTCATCCTAGATTCCCAAATATTAAAGCAATCCTGAAAGTGGGCTGTCTGAAGCCAGCTTCATTATTCCGTCACTTTACTGCCACCCGGTTGGCTCAGTTAGTTGAGAATCGGACTGTTGTGCGGCCGGAGGTCGTAGGTTCAAGCCTTGGCGACCGGACCAACACTCAGGGTCTTAAAATAACTGAGGAGAAAGTGCTGCCTTTGTAATTACATCTGCAAATGGTTAGACTTTCAAGTGGATCGGATATCCACTTTAAATGGCGATCCCATCTCTCCACACTTCATCATTACTAACCAATATCGGAGGGACGTAAAAGAACCACTGAGGACGTAAAGAAACCCAATGGCAGTGACCATTCTCAGTGTCTACACCTCATACTAACCACCTCATGGTTGTAGGCGCCATTGAATACGTACATATGAAGGGCACTATATGAATCTCAAATCATCGTCATTTTGTAATTATTATCAGTTAACTCACTAAATAAGCTTGGTTTTTTCGTAGTCTTTAAATACTTCTAGAGAAAACGAAGTCCTTAACAAACTAGTCGATATGATACACGATGAATTTGCTTTCGATGGTTACCTTGACGACGGCGTAGAAGATGTCAATATGGGTAAGTCGTTCTTCACTTACCCAAAGGTGTCCCATGCATGACCCACGTGCAAATGTTACACACATAAAGCTTTTCTAGCATTTTTTGTACGCTGGATTACGAATGGAGAAGTTCAATAGGCCCTTTGCAGCTCAGTAATCACGTGCTGATTAATTCACTGAGAGCAAATGATTGAACATCTTGATTCCCATGGGCGAAATATACTGGAGAGCAATCAAACTTTCTACAACCTGTTTCGAGAGATCGTAATAAAACCGCATTTCGTAACACACTGATTACACATCGTTTCATTCAGTTCTTTACAAGTAGCTAAAAAGAATCACCAATTTAAAATAAGAACAACAATTTTGCTCTCCAGTATATACACGTGACCGTTAACTGCAAAAGGCCTATTCCTCCCTCCTCCTTGGTCGATGATTTTAAACCATTTCTCAGTTGTCCCAGCTTCCAACAATTCATGTTTGCTAGAGAGTGCATAGGTTGTTTGATAGGTGAATATGTGATGTCTCTATCTGGGATGAGCGAGGACATGTTCAAAGAGTCTGTCAGAGACCAGTACAGTGACTTGTACTGGGATGATGATTTGCTTCAAGACATGTACATCCTGGTCAATAGGAAACTCACTTCACGAAGGTAAGTGTCCCCTTTGTGCGCGTTTGTGAACTAATTGTTCTTTGCAGGTCAAAAGGACGGGGCACAATGACCTGATGTACCGTAACGGGCCTAATCCACTTAGGCGTAATGTTTTGCCCATTTCAGACCACGTGTCATTCTCTCGAGAATAGGTTTCTTTGTTTGAGTTGTATCCATATTCATGTGTCTTTCCGATAAACAAAGAAATGATACTCTAGGGAATGACAAATGGACTGAAATGGGAAAACAGTGGATCAGGTCTATTAATGTTACCAGGTTTTACTGCACACTTTCCTAAAAGAGCTGGATGAATTGACAGTATTTAAGATGGAATGCGGACGTTCCCCAATGTCCAATTCCTGTCAATCTGGCATTTCATCTTTAGATTTTGCTAAAGTCCAGATGTTCATTTTATGTTTGCCATGCATATCAATCATCGAGTGTCGTATTTCACTGTGTCTGTTGTCTGCGAGGCAGACCCACGAGTTAGCATCGTCCCCGTATCCTTCCTCGATTTTCAAAAGTTTTTTTTTACTTGTCTTTTTTTTTATTTTATTTTATTTTCTTCTTCAAAAATGTTCATGTCGAATTCGTTATAAAACGACGGCCTTTTTGTTTGCCGCTTTTCCGCACAATCCAAATATGGAATCGATCATACCATATATGGAGTGAGCTTTCTCTACTCCAACTTCGACACTAACATATAGAGTAAAGCTTGATATTGTTTTGTTATTCAGACCCACTCTGAGATTCTCCGAGAGCATTGCCAGTGATGTGAGTCGACCAGGTTCATCACTGTCCATGGATTCTAATCCCGACGCTAGTCACCTGTCCACCAGGTCTGTCTCACGTACCAGCAGTGAAAGGAGCTTTCTTGAGACCAGAGACTACGTGATGTCATCACTTGGAGAGCCAACACAGTTCCTACCATTCAAAATGATCTGTCCCGAGATAACTAGAGATATCATTGAAGAATTAGGACCAGTGTTTGAAGATTATCAAAAGGAAATGGTAAGTTGGTCGCACTCGTTGGAAAATATTGTAACACTGGAAATCCCGGGGGGGGGTTTGACTGACTAAATTTATACCATGCCTGTATTTGTTTTTCAGAAAATCAAGTTAGCGCCCAGTATAAGTGAGCTAATGGAGAAACTGGGAGCCAAGATTCTGGTAAGTGTTCAGGTCTACCACTCACCATGTCACAAGTCGATTTAAATGAAATGCACACAACACGACACGGCTACATGTTCAACCAATCATAGAGCGTTTTCACTCACGTGAGAAGGCAGCCATAAACGATAGAAACTTTCTGCACAATATTTGCATAAAAATAGAGTTCAATTCCCGGAGGATAGAAACTGTTTTGTTGTTGTACCCCATAACGGCCGCTGTGAAGTTACGTGAAAACGCTCTATAGCTCACAAAATCAGTCCTCATACAATGAAAATACTCGCGGTACCCCCATATTTACGGCACGGCAAGTTCGCACCTTTATTTTAAAACTCATGTATATTTTATTTGTATCAGGAAATTGGCCAACAGTTAACTCTAGAGCGTAAGGCAAAAAAGAAAAACATCTCTTCGTTCAAGAAGATGGCAGATATTGATAATAAAAAAGGTAAACATCGTTGAAAACAACAGCAGCGTGACGTAGAGTACTGACCTTATAGTCAGTCCCCTTCACAGTTCCCTGCGGCATCTTGAAAGATAGCCGTGCCTTTGCATCGAAGCGAGAAGAACGTTAAGTTTGCACACACAAAAAACCGTCCTTTTTTCACGAGGGTAGCACTTAATAGCCAGTGGGTAACAAACCTGTGGCCCTCATTCCGTGATCGAATTGGAATTTAGGAGTTGATTTTTGGGGACGGAAGAAAACCGGAGAACCCGGAAAACCCTCGAAGCAGAGGAGAGAACCAACAAACAACTCTACTCATATACAACACCGAACCCGGTGGGACTCGAACTCGGGTCGCATTGATTAGAGGCGAGCGCTCACACCGCTACACCACCCGTGCTTCCCAAAATGATAGAGATATTTAAATAATTGTCCAAGGTGTTAAAAAGAGGAGTCTATCATTGCATGCTCACCGTTCGTCTCACTTCGATGCAAAAGCGCGGCTACCTTTCAAGATGGCACAGGGAACTATGAAGGGACTATTGACTTAAGTTAACTGACCTTGATGTCCTGTGCTTTAGATGTGAAAGATCTGGCCGGTAAACTGTTACAAGAAATCGAAGAAAGCGACAAAAAAATCATATATTTGAAATATATCCAGAGACGACTTAGGGTAAGAAATGCTATTTTCTAGATCATACTAGAGTTTTCAAGTGCAAACATACGCTCTTTTTCGCATTGTAAATATATGAAGGTAGTACAACGCAATAGGTCCCTGCGTCATCTTGGAAGATAGCCATGTCTTTGCTTCGAGAGCGAGACGAACGGTAAGCTTGCAATCATTGAGATCAACACCTTGGACAATTATTCACATGTCTCTATCATTGCAAGGTCGCCGTTCGTCTCGCTTCGAAGCAAAGGCACGGCTACCTTTCAAGATGGCGCAGGGAATTGTGAAAGGGAGTAAATTATCATTGATCATATAAGAACAAGCGTAATAGGTAATAGTGCATCCACACGGCTTACGGCTTATTTGCTCGATATTTGCACTAGGATAGACCACTTTCGAATTCCAAATTACCGCTGTGTTCCTCGATTACAGACTCATTTGCACAGGGTTACCTTGTATCAGTGTTTAAATATTCACAAATACCAACGGTAAAGTAAAGAATGCACAACTTCAACAATACAAACACTTTGAAACTCGACGGACCACCTTGACTGGAACACGTGAATATTCTGCACAAACTCGGTTTGCCTGATCTCACGACATTATAGTGTGCAGCGTAACACTTTATGTTTGCATGTAATACGAAAGAAATGACCGTAATTAATTCTCGCTATTAAATAAATTATATTATAATGTATCGCGCACCACAGTCAACCCATTTATTTATTTATTCATTTTTTCCATAGAACATCTATGCAGAACGATTTGGTTTGGATCATTCTTTGCTTTATTCCTTCGTCAGCAGGTAATACTCTTGTTTTCTCCTGTTCATTTCTCCAGGGATTTTTACTTTTCTTCTCCCTCCTCCCTCCACAAAATTCGATTGATATCACTTTTTTTGTACTTTTAGCTATGGTATTGAGAACGTGTCTCTAGAGCCCAAGAGACAAAACAACCTCTTGAGTTTCTCTCCGCTTTGGGACCAGCGAGGTAACCAGTCATCAGAAGCTCACGGTGAATCGATACGAGGTCCTGTGCTACAGTACGGCACCACCCAGGGTCTGTTCTCTTATCTGTTTGCAAGGTAAGAAACTCAAAACTCTTTCATTAAAAAAAAAACTTTCAAATTTTATGGAGGTCTGAAACTACCGCTGCGCTGATCTAAGACAAGGCAAGCCTGACTCACAGATTGGACCCTGAAACAACCTCTGGGCTGATCTAAGTCGGGGCACTGCTATCTTACAGATCGAGCCCTGAAACAACCTCTGGGCTGATCTAAGTCAGGGCATGGCTAACTCACAGATCAAACCCTGAAACGATTTCAGGGCTGAACTAAATCAGGACACTATACTCACTCACAGATCAAACCCTGTAATAACTTCTGGGCTGACCTAAGTCAGGGCATGGCTAACTCACAGGTCAAACCCTGAAACAACCTCCGGGCTGATCTAAGTCAAGGCACGGCTAACTCACAGATCGAACCCTGAAACAACCTCTGGGCTGAACTATATCAGGACACTACTAACTCACAGATCAAACCCTGAAACAACCTCTGCCTGAACTAAATCAGGACACGGCTAACTCACGGCTAATGTAAGAAATATTTTCAGTTTTTCTGTTCAGGAGGTTTGGATGAACAACTCGAAGCACCCCTTCCATCTCTCCCCAGATTCTTGATACGCAATGAAAATTACATGTGCGTTGTTGACTTTCAGGTACTCCATGAGCCAAGCCTTTGTACGATTCTTCCTGTACACCTTCCGTTATTGCGCATCACCCGACGAGTTGTTTGATTTCATCCGTGACAAGTGCAGAGCATCTTTGAGGTAGGTACCTTGATGTATTCAAGCTAGCGTTCATCATCATCAGCTATCATCCTCCCCATCTTTATTCATAACCACTTGGTATAGACACGAGTGAAAAAAATCTGCGCATGCTCTGAATCCGTATGCAAATTAGTCAAAACATAAGTAAATTTGACTTTCAAGCATGCCTGATAAATTGGACTTCATATAATGCCAAAACTTAGTGTCCATGCTTGAAACTTAAGGGTAATTCTTTCATGTTGTGTTTGTTAATACAGTATCTTGGTCTGACAAAAGTATACTCTCGAACTTTTTTGTATACTTGGAGAAAACAAACATGTATTTTCTCACTCAAACTCTTCAAAATTCTTAGAAAACGTGCTGAAGTGCACGCATGCGCAAACGTTTTTTTAGTGTCCTAGATATAAGCTTACAGGGTTTTTCGAACATACATAAGTATTAGAAAAAATTAATAATAGTCTTTTCACTATGTGTGAAAAGATTATACCAAGGCATTCAAGGCAGTCCAAAAAACTACCCTTTGCTTCGACTCTTAAGGCTGATAGTCCTCTTTCTTCTTCGATTCCTATCGCTAGTTTTTGATGGCTATAGTCTCATTTATATAGGTCTAGTCAGCTATTGATAGCCAGCTGAATGGTGAGCTTTATTTCAACCAATCACAGCGCGTTTAGCTGTTTTGCCGCCGGCCCTCTTTTCCAGGCTACTGTAACCCAATTTTTCTGTTTTCTTTTAACTAAAATATAACAAGTTTGCCTACAAGAAGCAGAAATATGGAAATGAAGAATAAAAACAATTTCACTTTAACGCCACGTTCGCTTCATTGAGTTCAAGCTCCAAAAATGCTTAAAACCGGTAACTTTGTCCACTCATGCTTTGCACGCCGCATTCACAGCTCAACTGGAGATCCTACAAGGATCCTAGAAAAGTTTTCTGAATGTAAAATGTTTACAAAAATGATTAAAAAACAATAAGCCCCTGGAGAGATTTGAAATCTCGACCCCTGGTTTACAAGACCAGTGCTCTAACCACTGAGCTACAGAGGCCTTGCTATTGTTGAATGTATATCCTAACTAGCTCTTTATCAGCTCTTTCGCACGGTTGTTGAATACTTTACTTATGCTTAATATTTCATGAGGAAAACACAATAGAAATCATGATCGATGTTCATTTGCATAAACTTTAACTTGGATTTTCTTGGGCAGATTCACTTTTATCTTGAAAATTTTAGTGACACACAAAGGAACTAACCTAGACGTTTGTTAAGCAATCTACAATATTCGTGTCTTTGTTGTATACGATATACAAACGCTCGGCTACGCCCTGAGCTTATAGAGCAGTTTTCGTATGACTGTGAAAAGCTCAGTGCCGTAAGCGTGACGAGCCGTGACCGTGATACTTTCTAGATTTTTAATTGGCTGATTTTTTCACGCGCAATATGATTGGTSTTGCATTGCCGTGATCTTGGCGTGACCGTGTCCGCGCCGTGTTTATGCCGTGTTTCGGGTATTTGATTGGATGGAGAGTAAATTCTCGTGCGATGTGATTTGTCTGACGTATCCCTTGCTGTGTCACGACCGTGTTCGTGCCGTGAACTTTTCACAGTCATACGAAAACTGCACTATATCGTATACAACACGGCCACTCATACTGTATTTATTATATAGCGCTTGATTGCTAAATTTTATCAATACCTTTCTCCCTTTTTTTTTTTTTTTTTTTGAGTAGAGCTGAGACAGGATCCGACAAGACTTACAACCATCAACTTCAGATTCGTTATCGTGCACTTGATCTCCTGGCTGAATGGGTTGACTGCTGCTTTCAGTTTGACTTTAAGACAAATCCTGGGCTGCTGGAAAGTCTTTTCGCTTTTCTCGACAAAGAGGTTTGTAAATTTTGGATTATGTTTTTACTTCCCAATTTTTGGTTTCTCAATATTTTCACGCGTCTCTCAGTACCCGTATGCCATATAAATGCCAAACACATCTCGCATCTTCCAAGAGTGAAAATAGTTCCCTTCACAGTTCCCTTCGCCATCTTGGAAGGTAACGGTGCCTGTGCATCGTAGCAAGAATGGCGGTGACCTTGCAATGATAGAGACATGCCAATAATGTTGTCAAAGGTGTTAAAAAGGTCTCTATCATTGCAAGCTCACCGTTCGTCTCGCTTCGATGCAAAGGCACGGCTACCTTTCAAGATGGCGCCGGGAACTGTGAAGGGGAAGTTTACTGGTTTTTTGACAAATATGTATCATACATATGAAAGACTAACATATAATACGAACATATATCGATTAACAGGGACGGATTTAGGGGGGAGCCCACGGACCATGGCCCCGCTTTTAAGCGATGCATTTTCTTTAAACGTAATTGTATTTGCATACGGTCTTGAAGGTTTTCTCTCAGGACGAAGTTTTCCAACCTACCCTTTCTTTGATTCCTGATCCGCCCTTGATTGATAATATAATATTTCGCATATAATACAAACATATATCGATTTCCTCAGCTAATACCAGTGGACAAAACTGAACGTGGTAAAATGCTGGTGGAGCTGATAACAGAAAAACAGCGAAAAGACGAAGAAGAACACATCGAAGAGACGACGGACACCCTTGCTGTGTTACAGACAGACGACAACCAGGGTACGACTAGGATCATAAAACATAATTAGCAATTAGTCCTCGAGCCCGAATAGGCTAATTGACTCATAGGCCATGAGGGCGAGAGGACTATTGTTTTAGTCAAATACAACAAGGTCAAATATATAGATGCAAACAAGTCTTGAATTAGAGTGAAATTCAATTTTTTTTGGCTTTCATAGAAGGCACTTTTCGTTACTAGTAGGATATAACTTATAGCCTACTAGTAGCTCATCCAATCAGAACGCAGAATTGACGATAGGCCGCTAGTTGGATTTGACTAAGGACTATTAGCCATTACGAGGTTTGAGGATAAGACTGGTTCGAGTAGTTATTGCAGTGTATTGTGGGGTTGTTTACAGTGCGACGCGCCTAATCGTGGCCACATAGCTTACTTTTTTTACCATGCCGTTGGATCCTTTTTCGCCAAATGTTTCCATCAATTGAAAAGACTTTTAACGAAAGTGTCCAGTGTTAGTCAGCAAAGAGACCAAAATAAGTATCACCGAGGCTTATTCATAGCCATTTATTTAAGTTTTCATTGGAAAGAGGACTAAATTATCTTAAGTTTAGCGGTCACGCTGAGTGAGTTCTCGTGCAAATTCACAAATTTTCGCTGTCTGATAGGCTAACTAGTGAAAAAATAAGGTGGTTACGTTAAGGCGCGTCGCACTGTAAACAACCCCACAATACACTGCAATAACAATCCGACCCAGTTTTCCCTCTCTCTCGGAATACTTAATACGGGTATGTACTTCATGATTGAACTAGACATTAATTTCGCATTAATTTTGCAGGTTTGGTATCAGAGAAAGAGTCACCTAAAAAGGTAAACATTATGAGTAGCCCAAAAAGTTCGTTTTGCTCTCGTAACGGATCTTAACGTTTCTTACTGGTATCAGATAAACGTAGTTCCTTTGGCATAAGCGACAGAAACATAGATACCGTCATGTTGGTGGGTAGATTCTGGTCCTCCAACATGGCGACGAGTATGTAGTCATGTGGTGACGAGTAGCCACACTAGTCGTAATCCGATAGCCATCGTATACACCCTTCTCATAATGGCTGACGAGCGCACAAAAACGAGGTCACTCAGTCATCTTGCAAGGCTGCTCATTCAGAATAAAGGTGGATAGCGCGAATACAAGTCAAAACAAGAGTTAAACTTCTATACTTTTCTCTTTAAAAAAACTCATTTAATGTACTTTTATATCTTGTATTGTGAACTAATGACTGGGTGACCTTGTTTTCGTGCCCTTTTCAGCCATAATGAGAACTGTGTACATAGATTATAAATAGGCCGTTTCACGGATCCCGTTACTCAACCTCAGCCTCGTCAGCGCGTAATTATTCTTTAGAATTTGACTACAGTCCGCAGTAATGAAAGGAATTTACACATCAACCAACAATTGAAACACTTAAAAATTTCACAGATTGTAGGCAATTTCTAAAGAATATATTACACGCTGACGAGGCTGAGGTTGAGTAACGGGATCCGTGAAATGGTCTATTGATAGTTTATCAGTGGTCTATCCCATGTATTCAAATCCCTTTATTCCTTTTTTTTTTTTTTTTCAGTTTCCAATTAAACGCAAGAAGTCACCAGTGCAGTGCTTCAAGCGCGGCTCACCTCAAGCCTCCTCTATCTACAAACCAACAATATACCTTAAAGCCATGTCTGTTATTGATCATTCATCGAGAACCATAGCAGAACAACTGACTCTTATACAACAGGTCAGACTAACATGGATGTATATTAGAGGGCATACCATATATTCGTGAAAACGTAACTAACGAACAAAATTATACAAATTATTGCAAAGTTTCGTTAGACTATTTAACACAAACCATCATTCTGAATCATAAAGTGTATTAACGAGACGTTCATTTTCTTGCTTCCTGACAGGATGTCTTTGCACACGCACACTCCATCCACTTCCTCAATTCCCGTACTCTGGGGATAGGGGTGGGGAGACTTTCGCCGACCAAGGAAACCACTCAACTTGACAGCATGCTTGGGTTTAGTGCGGGCAGGCGAAGGAGTATCTCATCAGAAACTCTAAACACAGACAACCCAAGTCCAAGGACGTCAGGAGAGAATAGCCTGTTTGTGTGTCAGGCTATCACGGATGGGTGTCTGGAAGGCTTGCTAATGCATGCACAAGACGTATCTATGTGGGTGGCGGTGGAGTTATGTAGTGCACCTTCTGTCAAGGTAGGGGTTTGCAAGACTCATGCAACAATAGACCTTTTTACAATAACTTACAAATTTCTCGCGCGCTGATTTTTTTTTTTTTTTTCATCAATAAGAGGACAGACAGATAAAGCTGACGTCAACGAGCGCGCGCTCTTTCCGTTAGTTGTTTTGATCAGTAAAAATGAGAAGTTTTTATCGTTTTTGTCATTGTAAAAAACAAATAGTTTTTTATGTGTCTGTCCTCTTATTGACGATAAATTTCGTCATCACATTGTCAAAGTAGTATGCGGATACCTCGGATGCCCCTCGTGGATCCACACTACTTTGATAATGTGATGACGCTATTTATCGTCAATAAGAGGACAGACACATAAAAAACTGATGTCTATTTGTTAAATTTTGTAGTCGTTAAATTCCGTTGATTTCCTTGATTACACACCCATTTACTCAGGGTTTGTACATCGATCATCTATATTATGCACAAATTTAAAAATACAAAAAATTTGAAAACGATTCCACGGACCTTCACTGAAAGACGTGAATATATTTTACACAAAATGGAGGTCAACTGAGAGAGTTACTAAGTTTTCTTAACACCATGAACAATAACTGTTACTACAGATGACCCCGCAATGAGATATTCTTTTGTTTAAGAGCATAGAAGTGAGGCTATCGGGTCGATACAATGCTTGTTGTCTCATTTGCATGTCTCTATCATTGTAAGTCGCCGTCCTCGCTTCGATGTACAGGCAAGGTTAGGTTTCAAGATGGCGTAGGGAACTATTGTCAAAAAGGTTTATGTTCTGAATTTTAGAAGAAAAATAAGAGTACATTGTAAGCCCCTGGAGAGATTTGAACTCTCGACCCCTGGTTTACAAGACCAGTGCTCTAACCACTGAGCTACAGAGGCTTCGATGGTTGCATAAGCCATTCGTATCATGATCATCATCATTATCATCATTATCATAATAATAACTTAATACTTATATGGCGCAAATTCGCACGTGAATATGATCTGTATATATCATATATTTTTCAGTAAGAGCTACAGTACCTTGCACGAAGTTAATTTTTCCTATCGTTGCTGTAATGCTGCAAACGGGTCCCAGAGGTGTTCTGAATTCTTTTCAATAGAAATTCTACGTTGTGATGCAAAGTTTTTCCATTTCAAACCATGTGTCATTCCCAAGAATACCAATTATCTGTTTTACAGTACACTCAACAAAATTACTCGACTCTGTTTGGTCGAGAGGAGTACAATTATAGCGTTAATTGTACTCCGTAGGAGTACCGAATTAAGTCGCTTTGGAAACACGGCCAAAACTTGGAATGTAAAATTATTTTCTATCATTTTGTACTTAAAAAACATATTAAAAAGTTTTAAATCTTTTTTATGCATTTTAGTTGTGCGATGGACTGAAAATCGGCCGCCAAATAGACAAAGATGAACGGCGTCGCTTCGCATTTTTTACTGAAATTTTGTTGAGTGAACTATAAACAAAAAATCCCACGATCTTCTCGTACAATTTGGAATTAATGGACACTCGTGCAATTACAAGAACTTTCAAAACATTACTCGTGTCTATTAATTTCCAAATTGTACTCGAGATCGTGCGATTTCCTATACTAATGGTTGGGCAAGAGACGCGCACGAGAAGGCAAATGAACATGGATACAACTCAAACAAAGAATCGTATTCTTCAGGTAATGACAAGTGGACTAAAATGGAAAAAAATCGCACCACAACGTTTGCATAATGGCGTCATTTTACTACAACAGCCAAGAGGCTTCGCAACGTTTTTCTTTTATATTTAAATTTGTATTTCCTTGTGAGATTAGTAAGACAATTGGTGCTAATTAACTGAGCAAAAGAAAGTGTGCAAGGGATTCTGGTAGCTGTAGTTAATGACCCCACAATACAAGTGACCTATTGGGTCTATTTAAGAAAAATGACAAGGACGCCAAGCCCCTGGAGAGATTCGAACTCTCGACCCCTGGTTTACAAGACCAGTGCTCTAACCACTGAGCTACAGAGGCTTCGATGGAATTACAGTGTCAAGTCAACTATTTATTATCTATTTCGCATATAAAGTTGTACATGACTTTATATGAACCAAGAAGGTACACCACAATAGCTAGCTATATTTTGCTCGTGCAATCACAATGTTTGAGCACAGACATACAGGATTGCAATATGATCGATAGCGTGAGAGTACAAAGCCTGAAAAACGTTAAGGAAAAGCGTTTCTTACAATCAGAGTAATAAAGTATCTTTACTGTTCAATGTTGCTTGATTTATTCGATTGTTGCGCAATAGTCCCCTTCACAGTTCCCTGCGCCGGCCATCTTGAAAGGTAGCCGTGCCTTTGCATTGAAGTGATGAGATGAATGGTGAGCTTGCAATGACAGAGACATGTGAATAATTGTCCAAGGTGTTAATCTCTATCATATTGCAAGCTCACCGTTCGTCGTTCGCTTCGATGCAAAGGCACGGCTACCTTTCAAGATGGCGCAGGGAACTGTGAAGGGGACTTTTAGGCCCTTTAGCTTGGGCGTCAGGTTCTCACATTTCAGATCACGTGTTATTCTCTAGAGTATCATTTCTTTGTTCAACAGTTGCGCATAAGAAGACACATGAATATAATGGGAAAAGCATACGCCCTGTTCATTGCATGCGCATAACCGATCTGGCATTGCGTACTCCCTGGAATCCTGGAAAATACTTCATCTTGCATCTTCTTCCTGGCTATGCCATGTAGCCGTAAACAAGCTAATCATCGTCGTCTTATTTCTGTTTAGAACCAATTAGTGCTTATCCAGAAGTACATCAGCGTTGCCAAGTACTGCGCTGAGATGAGAAATTTCGCTACCAGTGTCCAAGTAGTGGATGCTCTTGAAATGTTTGTGATTCGACAACTACCGGTGAGCATAGCAAACTATAGAGCAGTTTTCGTATGACTGTGAAAAACTCAGTGTCGTAAGCGTGACGTGCCGTGACCGTGATACTTTCTAGAATTCTAAATGGCTGATTTTTTTCACGCGCAATATGATTGGTCTAAAAGTGCCGTGATCTTGGCGTGACCGTGTCCGCGCCGCGTTTATGCCGTGTTTCGGGTATTTGATTGGATGGAGAGTAAATTCTCGTGCAATGTGATTTGTCTGGGGTATCCCTTGCTATGTCACGACCGTGTTCGTGCCGTAAACTTTTCACAGTCATGCGAAAACTGCACTAGACACCTTGCATCGAGTACCTAGAGAAATTGTTCTGGGGGACATAACGATGGATTTTTTTTGCATAAGAAAAGACGGCCTATTATTTTGTCCCCATGAACAATTCCTCTAGGAATTCAATGCACGCGTTCTGTAATGTGATACGAATATCAACCACACAAACCTAATGTAGTCCAAGTACGTATACCATCACATGTACCAATCTACATTTACGAAATGCCACAGCTTTTATGGGTGAATGAAAGCTTTGATCGTAACGTAACGTACGCCCCCTCCACGTTTCCGCAGTCGCTGGTAATAATATCCGTGTGTTGTGACCAAAAGTTTCAACAATTTTCAAAAGGCATTTCTATTTCTTCATTTCAATTTTCTAATGATTAACATCCATTTAGAATGTATTACAGAATGGTTTACACAGTCACCAAGCCATCGAGTCTCATGCATTATTCTCATTTCTATTTCTCAAGGTCTGGAAACAAGTCCCAAATAAGGTGATCCAAACGCTCGAAGAACTCAAGGCAATCAAGGTAAACTGATTCATTTTAAATCTATGATAACTGACAATCAAGAACATTGTCATGCTCTTCTCTATCTCTTTTTGTCTATTGCGTCTCTTCCTATTCTTCGATTGCACGTTACGTCATCGCGGCCATGTTGGTGCCATTTAACAAAAGATTTCTCATTAGCATCCATTGTAAACGGCACCACAATGGCCGCCATGCTTTTGTCTTTTGACTTTCTTGGGAATGCTTGCAATCCATCAATAAATAATGACGGCAAATTAACGGCCTTGATTTGCGAATTGGGGTGATGTCAGGCTCTCAGCATGTCATAATCTGATATTTTACACATACAGTCAATGTCATTCAATCAAATTAAAAATTAGAAATCGGGAACATATTGATTTTTATTTTTGCAAGTCTTTGAACGCATGCACTCTTATACCGGAAGTTCAAGAAATCCTGGTCTCAAAAAATGGATTATGCCAGAGCCCTCGTTCTTCGCCGCAGGCCAGAAGAAACGCAGGGTCTGTGTAAATTGACGGGTGCTCAACCTGATGATAAACAGGAAGTGTGCCTTTTGAAAAAAAACGAGGGTACACCAATCCCGCATTCCTCTCTAGTTACTGTTGCTATTTCAGACAAGCGAGAATGTGTTTTTAACACGCAGTATGGAACAGGCACTGAAAATTGTAAATGTCTGTCTTAGAACCAATGCATCCTAAAGGTACATTAAGAAAAAAATCGATAGCTACTAAGAAATCTTATGAATTCGAGTTTGTTGGACATTCTGTATTCCATTGGGAAAACTACCCATTGTTTGAGTGGGCACTTAAACATAGCCGGGATCGGTCTGTTTTAGAAGATACTAAAGATACTAAAAAATAACATAATTCAGTTTTAACCGGCGTTTCTAATATTTCATCACCAGGTTCTCTTGAAGACAGACAGCTCCTGGTTACTGAAGGACAACGCTTACCGCGAAAAGCCCACAATACCTTGCGCGCTGTTATTCCTCATGCATATCCAGCAGCTGGAGCTTGGTGGATTTACGCTGACTAATGGCATGTACAAGTGGACGAAAATGAGGTAAACTGACCTACATGCAACTGGTATTCGTATATTTTTATATTCAAAAAGCACTGAAAACAATGAACCCCCAGGGGTTCGTAATAAAGGAAATATAATCCATTTATTACTCTTTTAGGATCGATATCAGTGTGTGATAAAGCCGTGAATAAAAACCATGTCAGTGAAGTGATACGATATCACTTCACGGTGAACTGGAAATTGTAAAAAAAAATTATTTTATCGACCCTAAATGTGTAATAAACAAACTATCACATGCTTTGAAAGAGCCTAATATCTTTTTCAATCGTTTTCCACATATCACTTACTCGCTCGTTCGCAGAGTCGCTCGTTCGCGACCTGATATGGAAACTCGTGAATAAAAACGATGTCAAGCTCTTATTAACATGTGATAATCTTTATTTATCGAATAGGCGTGCGCTTTACTTTGCAAGAGAATTGCGCTGATCAAGCCTGACGTCTGCTGTGCGCGCTCTTCATTAGATTGTAGTAGATATGAAATGGGGGTTCTGCGCCACGGGCCCCGTCGGGCTGCCCCGGGCCCGTAGGGGGAGGGGACGTTCTACATCATCGATCTCTGGAGCCGCTCCGGAGCCAGCGCATCGGCCTGTCCATCTGCTCCAGATTCGGCTCTGACTTCTTGTCCGAATATCTGGACAGCTCTTGTCTATTTTTAGAAAATCCCTCTACTGAAGCCATCTTCAAGATTATCCCCCTTTCTCCTGGTAGTTGGATAATATGTCATATCTATTTTAGAAGTTCGACTTTCAAAACTTCTCTGTGGGTATCTGGATAGGTCATATCTATTTTTAGCTCACTGCACTGTGTCAATTTTGGATTCGTTTTGAAACCTCTCCTCTGATAACTGAATAAATTGTTTGTATTTTTAGAACACCTCTTTTCTAAGATAGTACGATGGGTGAAATAGATAGTATAATATTAAAAAATATATGCATATATGAAAGAAATTTTAGCTCCACATTTTTTTTAAAATTATTTTTATTATTATTATTTTTTTTTTATTGACGCGGCAGGCGCATCGAAGCTTTTCAGATCGGAACATTAGTTTCATCTAACTCATCTTGCTTTCTCACTTATACTATCATTCCGTAAATACAACTCCAAAAAGCGAATTTGGTACTCATTCAGCGTTTGGAGTATTCGAAATGATCAATCCACTCCTATCATTATCCCGCTATGATGTACTCTTTGAGTCAAGGATTCATTCCTGCGGTTTTTATTGATGTCTTAATCATTATTCATCGTTATTATATGTGTTTCAAACAATGGGATGAGGCACGCGCCATGATTTTTCTTTCTATAAGCTGATTCTAAATATCTGAATTTTGGCTCTTCATGTCGTAAGGAATCTGAACTGCTTTTCTCATTAATGTATCTGAGTCTTGTAATCATGACTACAGTATAGATCCATCAAAAAGTTTTCAAAGTCTTTTGGAGGTTTTCGTGTTTGCTCTTTGATTTGTATAATTAGTAACACACCAGTGGTTGTTTTAACGAAGCTTGCAAAGTCTCGTTGAATTCTTATCTTGGACTTTTCCCCCAACCTGATGAAACGCGCATCGAGATCTTTTCCATCGAAATTAAAACTGTTCTTCATCAAACATTGAGAAATCGAGATCATGACATGCTCAAAAGCTGCTGAGCTTTTTATTTTGTTTTTAGATCACCGGTTCTGACGGTTTTTGATCGGTCCGCGACTGCTATAGTACTGACATTTTTGTACTTAGAATTACATATCTATATGGTTTTTGTCCTCTTATTTCATGTCTCTCGATATTTTGATTTAAGAAACACCGAATTTTTTTATAAACTTTTTATTAACATAACTAAACAAACTCAATGCACGACTCAATATCAACACTTGTGGTTTCGAACAAAAGAAATGGTTTGATTAAGACAAACACTCATCCGAACGATTCTACCAAATGATTAAGACATCAATAAAAACCGCAGGAATGAATCCTTGACTCAAAGAGTACATCATAGCGGGATAATGATAGGAGTGGATTGATCATTTCGAATACTCCAAACGCTGAATGAGTACCAAATTCGCTTTTTGGAGTTGTATTTACGGAATGATAGTATAAGTGAGAAAGCAAGATGAGTTAGATGAAACTAATGTTCCGATCTGAAAAGCTTCGATGCGCCTGCCGCGTCAATAAAAAAAAAATAATAATAATAAAAATAATTTTAAAAAAAATGTGGAGCTAAAATTTCTTTCATATATGCATATATTTTTTAATATTATACTATCTATTTCACCCATCGTACTATCTTAGAAAAGAGGTGTTCTAAAAATACAAACAATTTATTCAGTTATCAGAGGAGAGGTTTCAAAACGAATCCAAAATTGACACAGTGCAGTGAGCTAAAAATAGATATGACCTATCCAGATACCCACAGAGAAGTTTTGAAAGTCGAACTTCTAAAATAGATATGACATATTATCCAACTACCAGGAGAAAGGGGGATAATCTTGAAGATGGCTTCAGTAGAGGGATTTTCTAAAAATAGACAAGAGCTGTCCAGATATTCGGACAAGAAGTCAGAGCCGAATCTGGAGCAGATGGACAGGCCGATGCGCTGGCTCCGGAGCGGCTCCAGAGATCGATGATGTAGAACGTCCCCTCCCCCTACGGGCCCGGGGCAGCCCGACGGGGCCCGTGGCGCAGAACCCCCATTTCATATCTACTGATTGTCACTTCCTACAACCGTAATATATTTTGGGGATAATTGTAAAGCTAAAGCAAAATACAGATAATAGTGGAAACACTATATATTGAGATAAGGGAGGAGGTGTGTAATGGGCGTCTTGATTCGTACCATTGCACTTGCCAGTTGAGCCACATCAGTTGGTCTTATAGAATAGAATATGATACAACAGCCATGTCACTTGTGCACAGCGCTCCTTTATGCCCACAACCAACATGCATCCAGCCGTTGATATCAGTCAGAGACCAGGCCAGTCTTCCGCGGAACAATGTCATTTGCCGCTGCGATGCGAAAATAAGAGTCATGCTGCATACCTTTCTCTTCTCCCTCTCGTAAAGGATCCTAGAAAAGCTTCCTGGACCCCAAAAGTTCACAAAAACGATAAAAAATATAAGCCCCTGGAGAGATTTGAACTTTCGACCCCTGGTTTACAAGACCAGTGCTCTAACCACTGAGCTACAGAGGCCTCGTTGTTATTAGTATTTATCCAAACTAGCAGTTTAAGAGCTTGTCCGCACAGTTGTTGAATACTCTACCCTATCTAGATAACAAAATGCTCGGGCACAGGCATTTGAGTTGCAAAGCCGAAATATTTTTATCTTTCGTAAATGATGACTTGCATGCATCCACAAAATAATCAATCACTGAAATGACAAAGTCATGGCAGCCATGTTGGGGGTATTTACAATCGAGGTTAATGAGAAATCCAGTTAATTACCACCAACATGGTGATAATGACTTATCATGCAAACTTAGAATAAATGTTGATTAAAACTTATTTTTATCTTCATGCAGGTCCATAGCACGTTTAGTCGACCAGATTCGCCTGTTCAAGCAAATGCGATACGCCTTTGAATCGAACGAGGCGCTCAAAGATCGTCTACGCATGCGCATCCAGGAATGCAGGGAAGAGAACCTCCATGCTCTTGCTGCCGAGAATGCTACTAACTTCCATCTGACCTCGTCTCAAAGCTCAAGGAAATTCCAGGAGGCATTTAAGAAAATGAAAGCCACGTTTGGCAATGGATAAAGGACTGTAAGGGAGAAATGTCGATACCTGAAGCTCATTCCTCTCTCCGGAATCTCGTACCAAAAGCTTGCGTTTCTTCTAGCCTGCGAAGAACGGGGTCTCTGGCATAATCCGTTTTTTTGAGACCAGGATTTCTTGGACTTCCGGTAAAAGAGCGCATGCGTTCAAAGACTTGCCAAAAATAAATATAAATTTCCCCGATTTCTAATGTTTATTTTGGTCGAAAGTAAATACAGAACTCTGTTTTGATGCATGAATTTCATTGATTATATTTCACTTTCTGGAAATTTCGCATGCGCCAAAAAAATGGATTATGCCAGAGCTTTTGTTATATGCCGCAGGCCAGACGAAACGCAGGCTCTGGATACGAGATTGCTCTCCCCGTAGATAGAGTATAGTGAAAAGCCGGGACATATGTCAAGGAGTCCAGCTGATCACTTGTCTGAGGTACTGCCGAAGAAAATTGTTAAAGAAGAAAAAAGATTACAACACTCGAAAATTCCAGAACGCGCAACAGCATTGACATGAAACACTGAAATGGCTTCCCAATATTTTTTATGTGCTTCATCCAATCACAATGCGTAGATATTTGATTACGGTTAGTCTGCGTCAGAAGACTACGTATTTGCCGTATCTTTTGCTATTTAGAAAAAACGTGCTACACATCCTACTTGCATACGGATTTTGTCTTCGCCACTTTCTATCATTGCGTAGGGAAATAACAAGACTGATATGAATCATATTAATATATTATTCACTGTAAAAAAAAAAACAACAAAAAAACAATACAATACTATGGGGACCTTTGATGTAAATATTTAGTAAATATATCTAGACATTGTCAATTCATTATTCAAACATCGGTATTTGTAAATGTAAAGAATATGAAAATAAACAATTTATGTTTATAAACACTGATGGATGTATCGATGGTTTTCACAGTCGCCATGTTGGATGAATTTAACAATAGATTCTTCATTAGTCGGCCTTTGTTATATCATCCAACATGGCTGTCGTGTCTTTTCATTTTCTTGGGAATGATTGAAAGCCAGCAATTGTGATTCTTCTATTAACGGTCAATGTCTTGCTGGGCTAGGGCTTCTTTTCGTCTTTTTTATCCTTTCTCCTCCTTTCCTTAATTTCCTTTCCTTTCTTTTCTTTTTCTTTATCCTAATATATATTACTTTGTCGTTCATTCCTTTCTGGCTTAACAACTGGGCTTACAAAACTAATTAAGACTGCATCTTCTAAGTAGCGTTAGTACTCTTGAATCTCACCAGTGAAAGTATTACTCACGCAGCTTGTAAAGTGAAGACCGCAAACCAATTACCAATAGCCGGCTTGCTGAATTGAGCAGCTGTTAAGGAGAGTTATTTTCAATTACTTTGTTTTGCTCATCTTCATCTTTCTACTCAGATGATATAAATTCAAATGAATCAACTTTTTATTCATGAATCTCACTTTAATATTCCGAAATGTCTTTGAATCTATTTTGGAAAGCTAATTCATTTTATTATGATAGTGAAGAGGCTGTTTAATTTTTTTTGTTTGGTTTGATGATGATTACTGAGGGGAAAAGAAGAGTAGGAAGAAAGAAGTAGTCGGGAAAAAAGACGTACAGTGAGAGAGACCTGAGAAAGAAAGAAAAATAACGAGAGATATAGAAAAAAAGACGACAAAAGGCAAAAAAAATTCGTACGCCTCTGAGTTTCCGCTACCCTCCACTCCCCACCCCACCCCCTCCTAAAATACGATGTTCTTCTTGATATCAAAACCCCTAACCGTAGTGAAGCAAAAACCATATGCGTTCAGCAGGTTACACATATTGTCAGCCACAACGCAGCGAGAAACTAAATCCTACCGAAATCAATTGAAAGGAAGAAACTGCTCTACTTATTTGCACGGTTAAAGTTTAAATATTAACTTGAGGGGCCAGGTGAACACGTGTGATGGACCAATAGGAAGCCGTGTTTACCTCTACGTCACACAGGGAAAGAAAGGCTGTCCTGTGGAGTGTTTTACTTAGATACGAAACCGTGCAAAAAGAACAACACTTTTGCCTCAAAAGCATCGTGATGTAATGCGTTTTTGACTACGAGAAGGTTGTTTAAGCCGAACAGGAAGTCTCGACAGCCAAGTAATCTGTTTTCGAGACTCCTTGAGGCTTGCTGTTTTGGTTTTTTTTGACAGATAAGTTAGAGTTTCATGAAGCTGCCCGCATTCGGCTTAGCTGAAGCGGGTAGGTTCGAATCGAAGTTCAGCCAAGATAGGCTGCAAGTCTAGTGTTCTTATGGGAGGCATACACTCAAATCGAAGGCCTTCTTACGATGTGAATGGAGAAGGTAGGTAACACCTTCATGATCCCTTATCAAGCTCTTCCAAACTTGTTTTCCGTAGAGATAATTACTCTTCATATTTGAACTTCCAGTTGACTTCGACCACTTTCAAATTCTCCGTGCCATCGGCAAAGGTGCATTTGGGAAGGTARACAACCTATTTTCTACTCTTTTCCTCCGTTAAAATGTGAATATAAACCCTAAAGAAGGTATTGTATTGATCGTTTTAGGTATGTATTGTACAGAAGAAGGACACAAAGGCCATGTACGCCATGAAGTACATGAATAAATACGCTTGCCTGAAGAAAGATGCTGTGCGTAATGTCCTCCGTGAACTGGATATCCTTCAACAAATCGAACATCCTTTCATCGTAAATCTATGGTTTGCTTTCCAAGACGAAGAGGATATGTTTATGGTAGTAGATTTACTTCTTGGCGGAGATATTCGCTACCATCTTCAACAGGGAATGAAAGTAGACGAGAAAAGAGTTATACTCTATATATGTGAACTAGGCCTTGCTCTTGGATATCTCCGGAAAAAAAGAATTATTCACAGGTAAAAAAAAAAAGCATATTCTACCAGAATAAAAATATTCCTGACTGTTTACTTTAAATTTAAATTCACCTCGAAAAAAATAAATTATGCTGAAGCTATTGCTATTTTCTTTACAGAGATGTAAAGCCTGACAATATTTTGCTAGACGAAAAAGGTAACACAATTTTCTTCCATATTCTTCCCTAGAATTCTTCATTTAGGTCTTATTTATGCTTTTTTTTTTAAAGATTTTTCTTAGATTATTTCCTAGAGATAAAATCCATTCGGGAAGGTTAATCGCAATCTATAAACACAATATTAAAAACACGGTTTTCAGATATTGTTTTGACTTCAAAGTAGTCTTGATTACGTTTTTATATGATTTTACTCCTAAACAGTTTTACATTATTAATATCCTTTAATTCAGATCTTTCCCTTTTTCGATTTTGACCAATTTCATGACATTTTAAGATATAAAATCATTTGCAATGTGGGATTAATAACACATCCCTATATCCTTCTTTTGTTTTTCATACCGGTAATTATAAGTAGCCGATAGGTATTAGTTACTTGAAAATCTTGAATATTAAATTTTCTAGGACAGGTTAATTTTTCCGGTTTTTTTTTTTTTTTTTTTCATTTTGCTTAGTCTAGTAAAGTATATCGCTATCTAAATATTTTTACCTTAAGATAGTGACATGAAAAATCTATGGAGGAATCAAAAAAGCCTGTAATATATTTAATTATGCATTTTTGTAAATTGTTTTTTATATATTTATGTATAACTTGATACTACGTATAAATGGCAGAACCAAACAAAACCATTGAGTTATGATAAATACATATTTTTAGTCAATATTTCAAAAGTATATTAGCATGAATGATATGACATACATTTTATTATGTTATCATGGATGTTATATTGCATTAATTGTTAATGTACGTTCAGTAATTATGGTCGTTCGTTATAACCGTACCCTAGCTATGCTCACTAATCCATGACAACAGTGTAAATGTAGACACCCTTAGGGCATTTTTGAAAAAAATCCTATTGTTTCAGTTTTAAAGATGCTCACATTATTTTTACGTATCATAATTACCGTGACCTATTATCTATTTCACCCCGGCCTGCTCTCAGTCTGACTTCTAGCTCAGCTGGTAGAGCATTGCGAGGGTTCGATTCCCAGCGAGGTCAGAAATTAATTTTTCCGAATTTAATTCCAAGGGTCTTTCGCCCGCAATAACCTTGTTCCCAAGCACTATAACCTATCTATATTATTTCTATATCTTATTGTTACATAGTTAACAATTGATGATCTTGTTACTCGCTTGGTAATTCAAACAATGACTGCATGTTCCAAGCCGTTAGACACAACAGACTATAGAGCATTGCATAACAATAGACCATTTTTATCTAGTGGATGAGCATAGAAAAAAGTTATTGTGACTGTGTCTGACTATACAAATGATCATCAGTCGTCTTGCATAGTCTGCTCACAAACATTTCACAAAATTAATTTCTTGGATTTAGCTCTCGAAAGCTCCTCAAAGATTTAAGGCTGAAGACCTAATTTATGCTGCTTGATGTGGGATGATAATCTAGCACTGAGCATGCCCACATGCATAAATAACTTTACTTTTGGATAGATTCATATCGAAACAATCATGGAGAGATGCCGCTTGAAGTAAAATAATAACATTAATTTCTAAACTAGATTGTCAATCTGTAGTTGCTGTTTCAGAAATTTCAAAAAATTAAACTTAACTTATTTGCAGATGAGTTTAATCTCATTTTTTGCAGACATGGAATCTTACAATAGGTTGATAAAAATTCTACTAAGTTTTGTTTTCATGTGTTAAATAAACAAAAGTAATATAAAACCATTGCATCTTGTGGGAGAGTTCTCATTTAAAAGTGGACATTGATAATAAAGTACATGGATTGACCTATACAAATTTTCGGAATCTTTTTCACTTATAATTGGAATAAAGCGTTAGAACTCAATCTGAAATCAATTATCGAGTCCTTTTTTTTAAAAAAAGCATTAGAACTCCATCTTAATTAAATATCAAGTCCTTAAAAATAACGCTCAATCTGGAAGTGGAGAAACTTAATGGTACTCGGGAAAATTCAAATCGTCAAAACTTTTGCTTTATCTAAGTTTCTGTATCAAGAATCTATCATTAATTCAAAAGAAATAATACAAGAAGCTAATAGTATGATTTTCGACTTTATTTGGAAAGGAAAAGACAAAGTTAAACGGAAAGCCTTAATTAGGGATTATCAGGATGGAGGTCTAAAGATGAATGCTTGATTAATGCACAAAAAATGTCCCTTCTAAAAAGATATTTTTTGGAGGAAGAAGTGAATAACCTGCTTGGATCTGGCAATAATGGATAGCTTTTTAAAATCAGTTGGAGGGTCATACTTACTAATTAAGGTGTAATTTTATACTTGAGTATTTACCTTTAAAATTAACACCCTTTCATAAGAGGAACACAATATGGTTATTCATCTTTCAGGACTTACTAGAAATATTTTATTCGGCTTGTACAATATTGATAATGACTTTCATTGTTAGGAAAACAAAGCATAGTATATTGCAAAACCAAGAAAATCAGATCTAAATATCTTCATATCTATTGTTAAAAATACCAAGAAAATGGAAAAACAAATAGCCCAAAGTAGGAATAAGCTTACCTTTCATTTAAAAAAGTTGGAGAAAATAAATTGTTTTTACACTGACAAACACTTAGAATTTATTATTTTCTTGTGTGCCAAATTCTCTCAAGACTCTATGATCCATGCCTATGCTTTTAGTTGATTTTATAATTTCATTATGATCATTTACTTCCCCCCCCCCCCCCCCCCCTTTTTAGTCCATAGTGATTTAAGTATTTGTGTGCATGTATTGTTTCATTATACTTATAAACCAATAAACATTTAAAAAAACTTTGGAAATTTTGAGGGGTAAGGGGGTCAGAGAAAGAACGAAATTACAGAGTTTGTATGGAAGAAAATTTGAATTTCCTGGGTGGTGGGGTATGAATAATTTCTGGATCTACAAAATAATTCAAATGTTCAAATGAACTATAGGAAATGGAATCCAAATGACTTTACTTTTTAATAGGTTACTCGTTGGTTTAATACTTCTTACCAGCATTTGCATTGCTACGCAGCCACCCCAGACAAAAATCACGACGTGCACTTTGCAATAGACTGCCGTCAATCAAACACGTTGACGCCATTTACACGCGTGTGCGATTCAAAAGGTGCCAAAACTTCGGTCGATTGTTTACAAGTATTATGAGCCACACTCACCGGGACTATCCGCATGTAAATGACGTCAACTTGTTTGATTGACGGCAGTCCTTGATAATTTGTATTTTGTAGGACATGTTCATCTTACAGACTTCAACATAGCAACTGTACTAGAGGAAGGAACATTAGCGACCTCCATGTCTGGGACCAAGCCGTATATGGGTAAGAAGATTGACTTATTAGAACTGACTGAAAATATACATTGATAATAGGCCAATAGCACTAACAGTTCCCTTCATAGTTCCCTGCGCCGTCATGAAAGTTAGCCATGCCTTTGCATTGAAGCGAGACAAACAGTTAGAATGCAATGATAGAGACTTTATTGTTCAAGGGGTTAAAATGATGTTTGTTGAAGTATTATGATCATCCGGATGGATGTAGTCCTGAGAAGGACTGTTTGATGTGACTGACATTTCAACAACCCGAGCGGAAGTCATCTTCAGATTAAAGTAAAGAATAAAGTCAGATTGGTCATATTTATACTGCCACGATAACAATAGCCTAATTACCTGGATTAGCATAATTGGTGGCATATGCAATGTGTTAAAATAAGGTCTCTATCATATATTGCAAGCTCACAGTTCGTCTCGCTTCGATGCAAAGGCACGACTACCTTTCACGATGGCACAGGGAACTGTGAAAGGGACTATTATCTAGTCATGTGAGAAGTTAGTTGTATCAAAATGAGTACCAAAAATGAAAAAAGTTTCCTGGGGAAAATGTGTAGGCTGGCATTGTAGCTGGCAAAGGATTATGGTTGTAAGGTGGCTTGTAATGTTAGGATATTTTTGAATAAAACTGGTCATTATTGTCGTGTACAGGGATTGATTCTATATTCAAATTCACAGATATTTAGACTTTAACTGTGCCAGTATCTTTCTCATAATAAGAATCTTTTTGACATTTTAATTGCTCGAGATAAGTCTCTTTCTGATCATAAATTATCAATATTTATCGTACAATTATCCATAAAATACCTATATTTCTCCTTTTCGAAAAACTATAAATATTTTCACATGTGAAAATAACATGTTTTCACATGTGAAAATATCATTACCATGCGTATTTAAGCTATTAGTCTAAATAAAAAATTTTTATAATTATAAAGCTTATTAAGTTGATTTTATGGATAATTATATAATAAACAGAATATTACATAGGCGCTTGGAGATACAAATTTTATCTTCTTGTGTTGAAAATCTCTTACTTGTTCGGTGCACTCACTCGTGAGAGATCTTTTCAACACTCTAAAAAAAATTTCGTATCTCCGCACGCCCATGTAATAACATATATTTTTGTCATGATTTTATATAATTTGCCTTGTTTCCTAATCTCTTGATATTTTGTATATTTACGTGTATCTTACGACTTTTTTCGTAGATAGTAATTTGTAATAATGACGTATTGATTTTAGAGTTTCAGCCTTAATTGCCGTTAATACAACAAAATCCTGACAAATAAGACAACCTGTCTTCTACTTAATTAACAAATTGTCAAAGGGATCAAAATATTGCTCATATTAATATTTATTGTATCAATATTGTCATAGCATGTACTTCCCTGGTTTTACTTCCCTAAACCATTGTCAAAATGTGACTGATCAGATTACAAAGTAATTACGTTCAAGTATGCAATTCAAATTTTACAATACAATTTTACAATTAATTTTTACGATAATGGATAAATTATTTTTTTCAAACCCACTGTACTGTATTTGTCAATTTATTTAGCAAAATTATGTTAGCTCTTTTTCTCCATATTCTTTTCTGTTTTTGTATTTATTTTATTGCAAAAAAAAACACTGTTTTCAACTACAGGTAAACAAAAACATTTAAAGCTTTACAGCTTAACTTTTTTGGCGAAAACTATAAAAACAAATTACTTTCTTTTACAAAACATTATTTATTATGCCTATATTTATTTTGATTTTTACAATTATTACGACTTTATTAGCCCACTTTATTGTATTTGTCAATTTATTTAGTAGAATTAACAGCAGAGTCCGGTTGACAAAGGGTGGATAGCGCTATCYGACAGATAAATTTATTGTTTAAATTTGTTGGATAACATCATTGACTTATGGATAGCGCTATCTACCCTTCAAGCAACTGGACCCAAAACTCTAAATATTAATTTCACATTAAAGCTAAAAACAATATATTTTTCATGTCAAAAGACTTCATTTCCTAATAAACAATTAATGAGGAAAGTTATTAAGAATGCTTTGCCTAAATTATTAATGGCTGTCATAAAACCCCACTACGAACACTTGATATAATATAATATTATATTGAAACTAAAAACTGAAATTCTTGATACTGTCAATCAATCAAGTTTATTCTTATCATTATATAATATATTTTTTCCACTCAAATATTGGGTAGCCTTCAACTTGCTGCCATTTAAGTGAGAAGAATGGTTGCTGAAAAAGTCGTACACAATAAGCAGGGGTTTGGCTTGAGCCTCCCTCATTTTGCTAATATCAAACTCTTAGTCTTATTTATCATATAATTAGATGATGTACATGTGCAATGATTGGTAGAAATCTGTGCTTTATTAGTGAAAAGAGAATAGTACTGATGACATCAGCTCACATAAAGTGGTGCTAGATATTGTGACTGTATTTCTTTTTGTGTAAATAAATTCAATAGCGAAATAAAATTTGTAGCTATGTAATACTGTAATAGGAATAAAACAGCTTTTTCCATTCTCTGTTAAAATAAAGCTCGATTCAAGAAGTGTGAGAAGTGGTTCTCCTTAAACTTCTTTGTGTCTACTTCACTTCCTGCTTGCTTTTAAGTACTGAATGGAGCATGGAAGAAGCTGTTTTGCTTGTTAAATACAACAAGTATACATGTCAAGTTTTCTTTTTTTTATCTCAACAATACATGTTTTGTTTGTTAAATACAACAAGTATACATGTCAAG